TCCTCTTCCTCCTCCTCCTCTTCCTCCTCCTCCTCCTCCTCTTCCTCGTCCTCTTCCTCCTCTTCCTCCTCCTCCTCCTCCTCTTCTTCCCCCTCCTCTTCCTCCTCCTCCTCCTCTTCCTCTTCCTCCTCTTCCTCCTCCTCCTCCTCCTCCCCCTCCTCTTCCTCCTCCCCCTCCTCTTCCTCCCCCTCCTCTTCCTCCTCCTCCTCCTCTTCCTCTTCCTCTTCCTCCTCCTCCTCATCTTCCTCTTCCTCCTCTTCCTCCTCCTCCTCTTCCTCTTCCTCCTCTTCCTCCTCCTCCTCTTCCTCCTCTTCCTCGTCCTTCCTCTTCCTCCTCCTCCTCTTCCTCGTCCTCTTCCTCCTCCTCCTCTTCCTCGTCCTCTTCCTCCTCCTCGTCCTCTTCCTCCTCCTCCTCTTCCTCGTCCTCTTCCTCCTCCTCGTCCTCTTCCTCCTCCTCCTCTTCCTCGTCCTCTTCCTCCTCCTCCTCTTCCTCCTCCTCTTCCTCCTCCTCCCGCTCCTCCTCTCCCCCTCCTCCTCCTCCTCCTTCGCATCAGTACTTGCAGTATGGGGGTCCAACCCCGGCCAGTGCCCCTGCTAGGCAGACCACCCAGAGTTAGTGCCCAGGCCTCACCTCCAGCATTTGGTAGCCCCGGGCATTCCTTGGCTTCCAGTCTCTTCCTCAAAGGTCAGGGGTCAGGGGGCATTCTCCCTGTTTCTCTGTGTTCACATTTTTCAGAAGGACACCAGGCATATGACTTGGCCACACCCTAATGACCAGGACTCATTGGCAATGGGACAGGGCCCAGCCTTCAGGACCGGTTGTGGGGGAGGGATGAGTGTGTGCTTTGGTGGCCAGGCTGGGGATGAACCTGGGAAGGGGTGAAACCTGGGGACCCCTTGTCACTGGGAAAGGGTGTCCTGGGAAGGATTCAGGATGCCTTCCTCCTCCCTCGTCCTCCAGGTCAGACAGTTTTGGAGGTTTGTCATTTCCCTGTCCTGAGGGTTATCAATTTCCATACCCTTCAGACCCTCCCTCCAAATAAGGTCACATTCCCAGGTACTGATGGGGGTCAGGACTTCAGCAGATCTCCTGGGGAATACAGTCCAGCCATGATGCACAGGGAGGACATACACCCAGGTTACCATGAGCAATTGTTATTTTTGAGGCAAAATATATATAAGATAGAGTTGACCAGGAATGAATGACAGTTGGTACATTCTCAGTGTTCTGTCCCCCACCTAGTTCCATACACTCTCACCCCCCTGAAGGAAACCCCGCATCTCTCTAGCAACCACTCCCATCGCTGCCTCCCCAGAACCTACAAAACCACCACCTGACTTTCTGCCTGTGTTGCTTCATTTATGCTGGATATTTTGTTTGGACGGCATCCTACAATATGTACCCTTTGGTGACATGTTCTTTCAGCGTGATGCTTTTAAGGTCATCCATGCCGTATCATATATGGGTACTTCATTCCTTTTCCCTACAAGATGCCATTGTGTTATTCCAGAACAATCCAGCCTCAGGGAATGCACCTGGCACCCGAGGTACAATGAGCATCAGGAAAGAGGAAGACGGATGGGCCCCGCCCCCCAGCACAGTTCACCTGGGGTTACTCACAGAAGCAGTGTCCTGGGCAGCAGTGAGACCAAGAGGGTGCCTGCAGTTTAGGTCAGCTGGAGGGGTGACTTCATCTTCACTGGCTTGTACCTGGTTTACCCTGAGCTTACATCAAAGGGTCAGGCACAGTCCCGGCACAGGGACCACCCTGACCCCCCCCCCACACCTGTCCAGTGGTTGTCTGTTTGTAGTGTGCTTGAAGCTCCGTAGGCAAAACCCCAAGGGGTACTGGGGGGCCATCATGGTGGTGCTGAGTGTAGATGGTCACGTCAAGCTAATCCAAACCGTAGGCGAGCACAGACGTGCGCCTCTGTGGGCCAGCTGATGGACGTCTGGGCTGAGTCCCCTGGAGGTTCTTGGGAGAAGTCACAAAGCAGCCACCTTGGAAGAGGTGCAGGAGTGAAGGCCTGGGAGAGACGGGCCAGATTCAGCAAATGAAAACCCAAGGTGCTCAAATAAACTTCAATTTCAGATTTTAAAAAATCACCTTTTGAGTGTAAGTGTGCTCCGTGTCATATTTGCAATATGTTTAAAGAAAGAAAAAAAAACAACTTATCTTACATTTAAACTTGTCTGGGTTGACTGTCGGAAATCCACGTCTCCTGACTCTTGGGTTCTGATTTCTTTCTTTCTTAACTCTCTCCTCCTTCCCTGGGAAGTTGATGCATCTGAACTTTCCAACCTTTTCTACCTAAGAGAAGGAACAGGTCTCGAGCAGTTGGCTTCATACTGGGGACCGGAGGTCTTCAAACCCGCCTCGGCTGTCCCACTGCTCAGCCTCCTCGAGCTCCCGCTCTGCCACCTGCCCCAGCCAGCAGCCCCAGGGGTGCCCTGCCCAGGCCCAGGAGCTGTACTACAGGGCTGGGATGCCTGGTCTGGAAGGCACCGAGACTGCCACATCCAGGGCACGCTCCACCCCATTGCATAGAGGGTGACCCAAGCCCAGAGCAGAGCCTGGGTCACAGGGGAAGGCGAAGGCAGAGCCGGGGCCTAGACCCAGCACCACTGGCTGCTCTGTGAGGTACATTGACCAGAAGCCACACCCAGAGCTCGTTGAAGCCAGAAATTCTCAGCCTGGCCCCAAA